GAGAGACACTGATAACTGACACATAACTGATACTAAAAGAAAATATCTATAGATAGAGAAAGAGAGAGAGAGAGGTATGGGGTTTAACGTCCACTCGACACAAACTAGGTCATTTTGGGACTAACACATGGTTTAATTTTATTTCAATAATTCGCTTGCGCGTAGGGGTCTTTAGCAGTGGCGGGAAGCGGGAGGACCCGGAGAAAACCCACGAGGTTGGACAGGCAACCCTACTCCTTGTCACGTACAACCGGGGATTCGAAACCACACCAGTTAACTCAATGACAGGCCTCGTGATACAGCGCGCACGTGCTACCCATTCGGCCATCCAACACCCCAATATAATGGAGTTTGAAGGTCCGTCAACACAATACGGTCATTTTGAGATTAACATGTTTATTCTACAGCAAAGTTAGTAATGCGAGGTGGAGAAGTTTGCCTTTGCCCATACAGTGGCGTTTTCGCCTACTCATCTTCGAATTCCACTCCGCTTTTGATTGAAGTAACATAAGAGTATGGTCAACCCAAGATATTATGCAATAATGGAACTATGAAATGTCATACGTTAATAATAACGAGTGAATTCTCCATACGAGATAATATCTAAATATAAAGCAAAGGCGCCTGTAGCATGAAAAATCTCTTACTAAAATAACATTAAACTGCGGCTAAGTATTTAGTCTATTACTATTATATTCGTAAGCGACATTATCCCATCTTACTATGTCAGTCGGTTTCTTACCTTCCTACGTCTATTGATAGCGAATCAGTTTCGGACAAGTTGTTTGCCCCTGATTTTGATATTAATTTTGAAAGCGATTGTCCATGTTATCTATGTGCCTGTAAAATATAAAGTTCTATCCATTTTTAGGGTGAAGATTGTAACATGAACGTGACATATAAAATAACAGTCAACCCACCCCCAGCGATGAAACTATGGAACGCCATCAGTGACCAACGGTAACTGTATGCTATGAGTATAATCCGTTATGATGTAATATTTTTAAATGCGAACAAAATTACTTGCGGAGATTTATGATAAAAAAAACCAAGTGTACTATTTTGTGCAAAATGCTGTCCAAAGCTCGTCAATTTATCAATTATTAATGATTATTTATATGGTGATAATATGTCAAAGTCTTAATTCACTTCTGATATTCCATAAAGCCGAAACAGACACCATAACGTTGATTTAACAAAATGAATGACGATATAATAATGATTTACTGGAATCTATTTGAGTGTGTACAGATTGTACTTTATAATCAAAAATTAATATAAGCACACATTCGTTTTTTCTATAACAATGACTTCAGGCAAACACAAACTGCTATTTTTCTCTGATATTTTCATAAATAATTGAAAGCCTTTATGAATGTATGATTTGATTACAAATGTCATATCTTTCGTCAGGGGTTTGAGGCTGTTTGCCCGAAAGTTTTCTTTGTCACCCGAATTTTCAGAATGAATCAATCATTAACTAAAACTAAATTTCCACAAGGCTGGTTGTTTATTTTTAATTAATTTCATAATTACACAACAATAGAAATTTACCTTATAATGTTTAGCAAAAAACAACTTAATGTTCCCCATTCTCTGATGTTTGTACCCGACAAACGACATTGCCCGAAAAATGGACGGTTCGCCGCCGGTTCCTACGCCTATGGCGAGAATACGGGGACTCCAGTATACCGTGGGCATTGCCTTAAGGATTCCCTTGTAGTATACCGGATCGACAATCAAGGTTCGGTCCTGTTTTGGCCGAGTATGGTGCAGGAAGAAGAATCTGGCAAGGAAGAGCGTCTCTAGTAGTTAGGATGGAACGGAAGCCAAATGCCCTGTGTACACGTTGACATGTGCGTAAAATAACCAGTTGAAATTCGACGAAGAGTAGGCCGTAATTCCACATCTGCATAATTTCGACTATAACCCCCCCCCCCCCAGTACATTTTGAAGGCTAAATCAAGTGCGTAGTTCCGTTATATACCAGGAGGTCTTGGGTTCACTCCCGGTATTTGCCGAGAAATTCCCGGTGTGCTTTCCCCTAGTCAGAGATGCAGACCGGAGGGTCAAGCGAGTACAGTGCCTAGTCGTGTGGATTGGGCGAAAAGCTGAGGTCCTTCATAGCACACTGCATGGCGTTCGTCCGTCTTTCTTTTAGCCCGGTTAATGTAGAAATGTGGGATATTAAACCCAATTTCTTTTCATATCAAATGACTGAATACCACATATCCGTGTTTTAAGAGTATAATTTGATTCCAAAAGGAAACAAAACTGCGTCATTTATATATTTTATATTGGATGTGTGTAACGCAATCATGTGATAATTCTAACGCCAAGCAAAAATAGATACACGTATAACCTTTAACAAGAGACCCTTTACATCCAAATTGCCAACTAATGAAGTTTTAGACAGGAATACCACCAATGTGGTTTCATCAACACTAACTATTAAGGTCACCGAGCAGAAAACAAGTGGGAACACAGACGATACGCCTACATGTAAGCATTTGAAACACATCAATTCACACAAAAACAAATAATAGAAAAATGTGACAAAATATATATAGATAATAACGGTGAAAACCATTTCCTTAAATCAATATAATAAAACTAATTTAGAAATCATAAGTAATTTTTTATGGGAATCCAGTGAAGCGAATTGGTTCTCAGATATTCTCTATGTCCATAGATTCTACTTATTTGAGATTCATATCTGAATATCGAAAAACGGGTAGCCTGTTTTCGTTATTGGCCAATATCGACAATTCAAAACGAAGAAGCAGTTTTATTGAATCCTCTGCACATGCATTCTCATTTATGGTTTCAAAATTCGCTTTATAAAACTGTATTGATGAAATATGTTTGGAATACATTCTGTAGATACACATCCTTAAATCCACTTTTTTTATATGTACTAATTGTTTTTCGTCATTCGCCAATATTGAAAATCAAAAGGGAAAAGCAGTTTTATTTGATCCAATGCCCAGGCATCGCCATTTATAAGTTTAATTAATTAAATGTGTTTCTCTATTCATTCCTGAAAACTGTTTTTATATTTAAATGAGAAGCTTGTTTTCGTTATTTGCCAATATCGAAAAACGAGTAACTCGTTTTTCGGCATCAGAGATACCAAGCCTTTCTCCAACTGCAAATACTTGGGTTCGTATGCAAGTATGGATATTGGCCAGGATGTGCATTTTGATTACTACCCGGTTGTTAATTACCTTGGCCTGAAACAATAGATTAATCAAAATCCTCATAGTAACTTAGCTCCCAAAACCAGAGTCCGCTGGAGGTTGTTTTTCCTATCCGAATGTCTCAACAGTTTATCTCCAGACAAGATATTACTGTCACTCCTTGCTCGTCTAGAAACGTTTACCTAATGACGGTATATTTGACTCTTGAAATCAACGATATACATCTTGCCCTGGGTATAATTGATAATCATGCCCTAATTGGGATGATCGTCTAGGTCTAGAAGTTTACAATCACATTGCTAGACGATAAATACATATTTTTATATTCTATTTTTAAATTTACAGTGGGGCATATTTCTAGGGCTGAGACACCTTTGAGCTATACATCATAATTATGAGTTAAATTCCTAGAAACATTTCGAAAGGATGGATTACATTCTGTTGGTTTTATTCTGAACTTAAACATACCGCGGTCTGCAGTCCAATCACAATTATGCCTGGTACCACGCATCTTCAATAGAAACTCGCAGTCGTTGCTTCAACAACATGGGTACCACAAAGCAAGACCAACTTAATTCCTCATTAACGTGTATTAATTCCTAATGTTTTGAAAACATTTGGCTGTTAAATCCCTACTGTTAAAATTGAACAAGCTAGATTTTGACAAATCAAAAACATTCTTTCAATTTCGCAGTATACCCGATCACAACAATATTTAACTGTGCCCTCTAAATGTATGCATCTTTTTAATGCCACCATGCATACTAAATTTTAAATCTATTTGGGAATTTAAAAGTATATTGTCTGCTAACTTGCAGTTTGTTATGGGGTAGGTCTCTTGTCTTACTTTGTGGTATTTCTCCAGGTACTTCAGTATCCCCCACTTCTGAAGACCCTTGTACACCAATAAAATTATTTAAATACAAATTGTACACTTGGTCCCAAAATTACCTAGTTTGCAATGAGAGGATATTAATCTCTCTTTCAAAATGAATAGACCTCTTTGATTTGGATCAAAAATAGAACCTAGTTCAATCCAATATTAAGACATAATCAATTGCATGTACTGCTGCTGACACTGTATGCCAAACATGATACTGGTGCAAAGGCCCCTATATGAGTGACACAGCCACGAGCCGAGCACAGCACTTGCAAGTTTTCTGTGAGGGGGGGGGGGGATGCACCCGCTGAGAAATTTTGAATCTAGACTTCCTAAAATGTCATTTCCTGGACTTTATGGGAAGATTTTGCAGAATTCTGATGGTCAGAAAACACTTATGAGTAAATTTGGGTAATACCATGGGAATTCATGTTATTTATTAAGAAATTTGCAAGAACGTATATAGTGCTGTGATTCTGTGACAATTTCTGAAAGTGATAATAATTACATCATTTACATATGGACCTATATCTTCCATATACTGTTGAGGTGAAAATACATGTAAATAAATTAGCAAAGATATGACTATGCATATTTGCATCAAGCACCTATTGGCAATTTTGTCAGGATCAAGCTTTGAGCTTTGAAAAACTGGCGCGTATTGTGATATCAAATCAAAGCAATCGTATACACAGATATATTCAATCATGATATATTAAGTATTTGAGATTTCCATTTCTATTTTGGCATTTTTGTGTACCTCATTAATTCATATAGTCGCTGATGCATAATATTGGGACCGACTGCACTTATTTTGCGACCAACTGTTTTTTTCCTGGGTATCCCCCCCCACACACCCCTGATCAAAGAGGTTTAGCTCTTTTAAGCAGTTAAAGACATCATTTTACAATAAGTTTTGTATGACTGTATTTTATTAATAGCACTATAATTAAAACAACATATAACAAAGCAAATGATAACAATAGGACCTTTTTACAAATTCATATATAAAATTACATATTTATCAGAATCATATAAACTTAATCAAATATCATAGATCTCAAATAGTACAGTAGCATACATAAAAACATACAATGAATTACGGATGATTAACAGATAATGAATATTTTGCTCATATTTACCTAGAATGTATATATACAGTCTTTAGTATATTATTAAAACTCAATTTTGTTTGTCCCACTTATTAAGTTCTCAGTTTATTATATCATGGTAATTAGGGACTGTACCTTTTGCGCAGCGGTGAGATTTACCGTTGAGATCTGATAAAAATTATGCTGCTGGTTAATTTTGTATTACTGACAGAATGTTGTTATGTAAAAGTAGACACACATTGACGAATAAGTGACCAATTTGTGATGTCAATCATTGTAGAAATTACTGCTGAAAATCAGATTTCTGCTTCCTCAATTCAGTCTACGAAAAACAGACCAAATATTTTGCTTATATAATGATGCGAATTTACAAACATAATGATGCGAATTTGATAACATACAAATGTATGATTACTTAAGCCACATCAATTTGATTTTCTGTTCATTGGGAATACACATAGAAATTTGTCTTATTTCTTTGGGGAAAAAGACTTATCTATAAACAAAAATACTTGGTTGTGCAGTTAAAAAGCATTTAGTCTCATTTTTTTAAGTTTTGAAATTTCAAACAAAACATCTTTCGTTCGTTCGTTTCTGGGGTTTTACGTCCACTTCCACCTAAGGTGATATCGTAGACAATAAAACATCTTTCACACGATTGAACTCTTAAATGACACAGAGGTTTGACTTCATAACGTTATAAAAAAAAAAAAAAAAAAAAAAAACCTGTCATAATGATCAATAGTGTTAAAATATAGATATGCATTTTAAAATCATTTCATTAAATAACAACTGTAGATAGACCCAACATGTAAATGGATGAAATAATCTAAATTTAATGTTATTTTCATTAATATGAATTTTATACCAAATATTAATTTAGACATTTCATGCAAAATTCATGTATATAATGGTTAGTTCTATTTTTTTGTCTGTCTGTTGTGAACTAAAAATCATTCATCATGAATCTCTTTTGATTTAAGCTTATTTAAGTAATTTGTTGATTAAGCCCACTTGCTTGTATCACGTGACTTATCACTATTATCAGTAGGCCTACTAACTAGCCTATCACGTTCTAACGCAAAACTATAAAAATCTAAACCACAGATAAAATCAAACAGTAAGATTTTTAACTGTCAAAACAGGATGTAAACAAACAAGAAAAAATTTGTCTGTTCATAAGGAAAGTAACTATCATTATGCTAGAAGGAGGCAGACCACCATTAATTTCCCCATTGACTTCAATGTTAATTCTGGCCTCTTTGCCCACCTCCAACTTTTCCCCAAATTTTCGTTGGGCTGAATGCTTTTCACTACAGACAGAGGAATAAATGGTCATGTCTTCGCACTAAAATTTGTATGGGGTTGACCACCAAAATTTTGAGATACACAAACTTGAAGAAGCATACTAAAAACATGTAACTAGTTGCCGTACATATCGCCGTAGCCAACCTGATAACCCTGTTATCCTTCCGCCTCAAAATCATGAATATTTACCAAAACCTGGCAGAAAATGTTAATTCAAACCCTCTTCGTCCATTCTAGACCAAAAAATCAACAAAAATGGGCATGCAAAAGGGGAGAAAAGAGAGAGAGAGAATTGCTATAAATAGACGAACTACAATTCGTTGGGTACCGAGATGGTGAAATTTAATGGTGGTCTGCCTCCAGAAGCATTGCATTTAGCTAAATGGTTTTGTCAACAAAAGTTGCCAGTAATTTTAACGGTAATGTTATAGGTGTCGACAAAAGTCACTATGCATCAGTTAAGAGTTAAGTGGTCATTTATTTATCAAGACCCCAAAGAACAGAAAATCAATTTGTTGTGGCCTTAATTTCATACATGTCAAATTATCACATTTTAGTGAGTACATAAACCATGTTTTAACAACTGCATACTAAGTAAATTGTCTACATTATGCATGACAATAAATACTTTACTAAATAATACAGAGCTATAGTCAGTTGATAAAATAGTTACAAACTATTAATTATAAATGCATCATAAAAATATTAGATATTTTATATTGTGTGGACAGTGTGTTGTAGTGAAAACATCAAATGCTGAATCCATTACTATCAATATCATCAGATAATTTTGTTGCTTACCATATTACCTACTTTATATTAATTTGTACTTATCTTATTAATCATGATATATCACATATAACTCTTTACTTAATTACAGTACTGACAGTATACATTTGTTCTTTGTCATTGAAACCATTGCATAATTTATGAATATAATTTTAAACAATGTATTTATATATTTTATTTTTAAATCATGATATATCACATACAACTCTTTACTTAATTACAGTACTGAGAGTATACATTTGTTCTTTGTCATTGAAACCATTGCATAATTTATGATTATAATTTTAAACAATGTACTTATAATTTTTTTTAAATAATTTCTTTCCAGAAAAGAATTTATAGATTTTCATAATACTGAGTCTTGTTGTATTATGTCAATATTTATTGTAATGCTAATTTTACTAGTCACAATTCGAATGCTGCCATACCGGTATTTGAAAAGTCGAAATGAAATAAATATTTGGTTCAGTTTTGGGCATTTTTCAGAAGTTTAGAAAGTCAAATTCTTCCAAATAAATATAGGCTAATTTCTTTCATTTGAGTAATAGACGCAACAAATATTTCATATTAGACAGAAACTTAACAAATTCTGATTTGAATTTGAATTGACATTATATAACAAACAGTAAACAGTTTGTTCATGTAGTCTAATAAAAAAGAGATTTAAATGCAATGTTTTAGGTCCAATCTTGTGTTCATTCAAACATTAAATATTTCAACATATATATGTGTAACCAAAAATATATGATATTATGCATATATCATTACATATAGACATGTGCCGATACATAACACTGATACAACACAAAGCCAAACTCATTAGATATTCTCAAAGCCAAACAATTATGAATTGCATTTAAATATGTCATATATTTTGGGTTTATCTTAACTACTAAATGTCATTTAAAGAAAAAAAAAACCTAGGTTATCGAGTAGTTACATAAACAATTTAGATTCAGACTTTCTTCAATCAAACTAAAATTAATGTGAAAAAATTACTGAGCAATGTTTTGATTAAGATTCTCTAGTCTTAATGAGGGACATATACTAAACAAAGCAATTGTATTGATTAATATATTATTTATCTATATCTATGACTGAACATATATTGAATTTGAAACCAATAGATATAAAATATAGAAATTTATGGATCTTTTCTTAAAAAAATTATATCATGAATTCGGAGAATGAACTGAGATCTTAAATATAGAATATTACAAATCACACCGCCGTTCCCTCATCATTCGATGCTTCAGCTCTTTCGGATAGAATAATCAACAATTGGTCAAATTTACGATGTCTGTCTTTACGATTTACACTGGCACCTCTGGCTCCCCATAACAATTTAAGATGAAAGGCAGTGTCAAACATATCTAAAATGTCACGATCACCATGAAAATCGGCCATTACAGCACTTCCTGTAATTTGATAGAGTTCAACTTGAGCAGCAATGACACGCGCAGTATCCAAATGTGTAAGAAACATATCTAACCCTGCCACAGGGTTGTTGCGTTCCCATGTTAGTTCATTGAGCAGACTATCTAAATCTCGTTCCAATAAATACACTAGAGGGTTAATATTTGGCACGCACACATTTTGTAAAGGGAGAGAACTGCTACCCTCATTTAAAGCTTTATAGGCTGCCTTGAGTTTTGTGTCGAAGGTGTAAGCACTATTGGTGTGATTTTGACGTAATATTAATCTGGTTGTCTTTAATCTTGACACCTGAAAACACAATATTGATGAGAATTAACATCATGTGACTACATTGTAGGAATTCTATGGAAGTAAGGAATATTAGTCATTTTGAGGCCCACAAAATTTCTATGGTTCCAAGTGAAATTTGAAGAAGAATTCTCACTTAAAGTTCCTTAAAGGCCATCACCTTAAAGGCCATCACCAACGGATCTATAGCAAATTGAAATGAAATGAGATTTTGATGTCTATCTTTTCTGCACCAACTGGACATGATGAGGGCATATACTCTTCAAAAAAAAGTAGGGGATATTCCGAAACAATACAAAACTGTTTTTAGTAGAGGAAACCGTGTATGTTAATAACAGGCAAATTGCCTACACATGAACATAAACAGTTCATATGGGCGGCTTATCTGACGGCCCCATTTCACTCGCAAAGAGATATACACCGTCAAAAGTGAAAATGGACGTTTTTGATTTTTGTCTTAATAATGAGTAATTGTTCCACCAATCCTCAGACATTCAGCAATTCGTTGTGGCGTGCTCCTAATCAACCGTCCAATCAGTCCTCTTGCAGTGCCATGGCCAATGCTTGCAGTGTTGTCGGTTGACGTTGACGAACACGTGTCCCGATCAAATTAAATGTAACACACTAAAGCAAAGATATGCTAAACAGTAAATCTTATGCAAGAACCGATAGGAATGCAAACATGGATAGATAAACTAGCACGCGGCAGTTTTCATCAACCCTTCCTTGAAGTGTCAAATTTGACAATGAACCCCTTCCACAAGAATGGCGCTATTGCGTTTTGCATGTGCAGCTCAGTGGTTCTGTTGGGGCGATAAGTTCTTCATCTGTGAACATACTCTCAAAGCATGTCAAATGTCCATGACTATTTATCATATCGCAACCTGCATAGGTATTTGCATTTCAATATCCCCTACTTTTTTGGAAGAGTACATATAAGGGAAATTTTACCCCGACAGCGTTGCTATGGCTTACTCATATTTCAATTTCCATCTTTCAGGGGATCTTTAACATGCTGCAGATGGTGTAAACAGAACCATGGCGTTTTTCGATCATAGCAACTAGATGCTTTTCCTCTGTAGTGCACCGACAAGGGAAATCAGGTTGGAAAATCATAGAACCCTCTGTCTGCTGGTATTACGACTCCTAAGCAGTCTTGGTGATTGTTTTTCAATCATCTTGTTAATAAATGTCTAAATAATAATGCATCTTTAATTTAGAAGCTTATGCACTAAATTGTTTGAATCCAGGACACTGGAACTGTGAACAGGGCATGAATAACATAAATCTAATCGTTTCATTACAATTCTCATTACAATGTTAATAAAATAAACTAACCTGTTGTGAAGTAAGTCCATCCATAACATTAACAAAACTAAATAGATTACCCAATAGTTTTAATTCTAAGGATATCAAAATCCATTGACTCATCATATTAGCTCGTTCACTGACTGTACTGCATGTTAAAATACTGACAATAACAAATAACTTCATACAATGACATCTGTAATACATAAAACAACAATGGCCATGTTAAAATACTGACAATAACAAATATATAACTTTATGTCAAAATACTTAATTAATTAATATAAAAAATAGAGTGGCAATATATGTAGTTATCTCCCTTGACACATTTTTAATTTTTACACTATCATTATTTAGATATTCATGTTTAACCTCATCTCAAATCACATGACTTTTGACTTTTAAGTTTGATTAATATTAAACTTCTAAATTGATTTTGAATTTATTTACCATAACTTAAACCAGGGCCCGGTTCCTACAAAATTCTTAAAGTAAGCAAAGAGTCATGCTTCACGTTTACTTAATGCACGTAAATAACTTTATAAAATACCGTCTCTAGAAAATTCTCAAGACCATTCTTACGTAAGCATAAGTCAAGAACATTGTGACTAGTAAATTGAGACTATGATGCTCTCTAATGTCATAAAAACAATTTTGGTATGCGAATTAAGTCATAAATTGGTCGACTGCATTGAGTTATAAATAGATCAATGACATTAACTCCCTGGCAAATGGTCGATTTAGATGCATTTGACATGTCCCCTATACATATATAAAATGTGCCACAAACTAAAAAAAAAAAAACGCAAGAACATGCAAACAGACGGAATAATTGTGAGAGCGTCTGATCTTAAAGTGGCCTGTGTTTGTGTTGTTTACTAATTGGCAAATAAATAAAATGGTTTCAGGGAAGAAGCGAAATTTTCTATATTCTTCTCGAGAATATGTTTCTTTTGTATCAAAGGAAGTAAGAAATGCCGTCGAATATCTCTACGGTCAACCATCTTGTTTGAAGAACAAACAGACTTAAGGTTGGTAAGCGCTTGGGACTTGCACTTAGATTGACAATGTTTAAGAACAAAGTTTTACTTAAGTATTTTCTTGGAACACATAAGAACGTGCTTGTGCTTACCCTGAAATCTACTTAAAATCTAAGCACAAGAATTTTCTTAAGAATTTTCCGGGAACACAAAATAAGATAAGTTTACTTAAATGCAAAGTCTACTTAAAATCTAAGCACAAGAACGTGCTTAAGAATTTTTTAGGAATCGGGCCCTGGCTTAATGAGTCACATGTTGCAGGTCTCTTAATTGAGATTTGGCATGATACGTACAACAGTGTCAACTAAATCCAAATTAGTATAGTTTTCCCCAATATCTAAAGGCAAACACTGATCAGAAATGCACAAAATATGATGTTTTTGGTTGCTATATATGGAGTCCTTATTTAGTTTGTGTAATTATTCTGAAAATGACTGTTACGGTGTATACCAATTTCCAAGCTAAATATTTCACCCATTTTGTTAGATAAATGCATACCGGTCAACATGTATGTCATATCAAATGGAAGACCATTGAATATAGGTTTTATGCATTGACCCGTGGATCTCATGCGGACAGAACCAGTCATATATTTACCCACACCAGTACAACATGCTAAACAATAATATGCCTAGGAGTTATTAAAGACAATATACAGCCATGACTTAGATTATCTGGCCCCAAGTTCACAAAACATTCTCAGACTTAAGTTAAGAATTTACTCAACTTTCAATCACTGTTTATGAGAAATATCTTTGATCCAGAAACACAAAAATTTGCACATAGTTTCTTATTGATGTATTTGATACATTAAAACAACACAAGTTTTATAAATGGTTATATTTTAGTTAAAATAAGGCGAACAATTATGAACATAGGTTTGAGAATGCTTTGTGAACTCGGGGCCTGGTTTATGTACGAAACAAAAGAACTGAACCAACTCATCTACTAGCCCATATTACTAAATATTGAAAAAAAAATTTTCTTCAGTTTCCAAAACTTACCTTTCTATAATATCCTGTCTTAAATCTTTACCCTGAGGCAGGGTCAATAACTCTAGCCCCGATTCTACCCCCATTCCATGATCCTCATTTGTTAAAACATGAACAGCATCTAAATCCATCTTAGTACAATGTAGAGCCAGCACTCGGGCATCTTTTTCTAATAACGTGGATTTCAACTTTATCATACTTCCAGCCTCTAACGGTTTACAGTCGTTTGGCAAGACTGCGAATTCACTTGTACGAACATTAAAGCTTGAAGAATTGCGCATCACTGGTTTTGTCATTTTACGTTTTTTTAGATACATGGTATCATACTTGATATTTATGTTGTAAATATCTTCATCATATCGAATATCCTTAGTCGGAGAATCCAGCTCTGGAAACACACGATTACTTAAAAATTTTCCGTATATCGTATGTGAATTAAGATTATGGGAGGAATTTTTCAGAGTATTAAAATTATTGTCATAGATTTTCGGAGGACTAGTTAATGCTGTTGGAGTTTTAATGTCAGGTGCAAGAGAGGTTTTTCCCTTGGCCCAACTCGGTTCCTCTTTCACCTGATAGTAATCAGAATAATCTCTTCCGTCATCATCTTCATATAACGCAACATTCCTGACTAAAACCTTTGGTCGTTGTTTATATTTTATAGAAGGGATTCGACTGGGTTTCGGCGGTGGAGGCTTTGTTAAATCACTGTCTGATCCTGATTGTCCAGTTCCTTTTTGAATTGATTTTTGCTCCGATTGAGTAGGCATTAAGACAGGTTCGCTGCCTGATCTTTGATGATATCGCGTAACTGGATGTTCTCTCGAGGGAGATCGATGTTTAGTTTGTGGTGTATTAATCACCGGTAAACTGTCACAACGATCCATGGCATTGGAACCTATTCGTGTATCTCTAATCTCATCCACAGACAACAATGGCTGACTTCCTGTTCGTTTTGGTGTCCTTCGTTGCATTTTTGGACTCGTTGATGGACTAACGGCTGGAGAAACAAAAGGACTAGGTCTCGGACTTTGCGATGGTGTGTAAACACCGACAGTTGATAAATTACTCAAAGCTCCATATTTGGAATCATAATAGCTCAGTGGCATTGAACGTTTTATAGGTTTCTTGAGTTTGGCTTTGGAAGTACGAGTGATGAATTTATTCTGTGTTAAATAAAAGTTAATCAAATTCTGTATTGTATCGAAAGACTCTTCTTCAAATTGATAAGATATTTGCGGAATTTGTCCACCTTGTACAGACTGGATGTTGGCGTTGATCATAAAATGTAATGGAACTCCAGACCAACAACAAGTAAGCACAAAATCACCTGGCTTAGAAATACAGTCACGCACTAAAAAATCGCCATTTTCTTTTACTATGACTTCTGCTCGCTGCCGGGAGATGTTACCATGGTACCACCCATGACTCTTTAACTCTGATGGGTCCGATTCCAATTCTCGTTGCAGAACCTCCTGAAGTTTTTCTTGAGAACTATTTAGGCTCGAATAATCTGGATGACTGTAGGGAGATGGTGGTGAAACTCTAAAAGAAGAATTAGATGAAAACAAACATGAGATTATATTTATATTCAGATATTAATATCCTTCCCATTCATGACGACATGTAATATCATGAATGAATGTGTGCATATAATTGTCATATGAAACAGAAACATGAAACAATAGAAGACTTTATTCATTATTAAATGTGCAATATTTAATGCACACATACAATTCTGTACAATAGTACGTCACAACAGGGGTATAGTGGTGAAAGTATAATGTAATTTAGTTCCTGGTTGAATTAAGACAATGAGTCATATATAAAGTCTACATGATAAAGTATGGCGTACATGTTTATCAACATACATACAGTATATTATTACTATATATTGTCACACATAACTGATACTAAAAGAAAATATCTATAGATAGAGAGAGAGAGAGAGAAATGGGGTTTAACGTCCACTCGACACAAACTAGGTCATTTCGGGACTAACATATGGTTTTAATTTTATTTCAATAATTCGCTTGCGCGTAGGGGTCTTTAGCAGTGGGAGGAAACCGGAGGACCCGGAGAAAACCCACGAGGTTGGACAGGCGACCCTACTCCTTGACACGTACAACCGGGGATTCAAAACCATGCAAGTCGACTCAATGACAGACTTTATGATACAGCGTGCGCACGCTAATCTATAGATAGAAATATAAGATGAAATAAATAGAATCAAGCACAATCATGCATGTTCATATTAAATTCTGTGCAAAATTCTGTGCAAAATTGGAGCTCAAGTCGTCAATCTTTAAGAAAGAATACTATCTTCTTCAGAATTTGAAGAAACATTCAAAGAAATCTGCCCACTGCAGGTCAGTGACCCAATTTTCAATAATTATAGATTCAAGTTTATAAGCTTATTTTGAATACCTTGGTAGATGTTTTTGATGCCTCTTTATACAGAATTCTAAAATAATGTTTCCTGTGAATAGCCATATCTCAAGATGTAAAAGTCGAACACTGTGAATATTTGCAGAATAGCCTACACATACTGGTATATTGGCCTTGAGCCATTTTAATCATAAAAAGAATGAAAATATAATGAAAGGTGTTACATACTGTATGCCAGGTGGTGGTAAATGAGCGGGACCAGGTGAGTGAATTGGTGAATGATGACTTCGTCCTTTAATTAATAAAAGAAAAATAATGAAAGTACTAAAATCTTACAAGACAATAATAACTGTTCAAATGCAATAACCAATGAATTTGATAGGCTTCTCCAAGTACTAACATAAACAAAATATGTACCAGTAATCAGATGAAAACTTTAACTGTCTTAATTACGTCATGTCAAATGGATGATAACTTTAGCTTTTAGAGCATCGACAAGATTGATCAATGTCATCAAGGGCATTGACTTTGATAATAATCATTCTTCATCTCATAAACATAAGTACTGTGTATAAATTTTCCAGATCCTCCAAAAAGTTATTATCAGAAATGGTTGACAAGAACTTAAGCTGTTTGAGTTATCGGAAATTAATAGGCTGTCTTATCTAATGATCATAAACACTGTGTATAAATTGCATGTAAATGGATCAAAGAATTGCATGTAAATGGATCAAGGAATTCTAAACAAACAAATAAACAAATGGACTGATGGACAGGAGTGACTTTATAAACAAAATCTTACTGACTATAATGCTGTTGACTTGACTCATTTGGACAATATTTCAGTTTATACATTTGTAAATAAATATACTACTCCTGTCTGTATGGATCTTTACATCAAATGTATTAACAAATCCCGATGTTAAAATTGATTCAATACAAAACATACTAAATAATTTTATATCTACCTTTTTCATACTTTTCACGAAGTATTCGTAAACTGGAAACTATTTTCGCGCGATGTCCACCATTATGAACTCCAAGATCTCTTATTTCTGATTCTGTTAGATATAACAAATCCTGAAGAAAATACACATGGAAATTATTTAATTTAAAAGTAATCCGTTGAAGAGAACTTTAAATCATTACATGAAAAAAAAAACTGATGCAGGATCTAAATATAAAGACTGTACCGTCTGTTATATATAGTAAGTAACAATAGAATATAGAATGTCATACTTAAATCGCAAACTGCTATTCCTAATTTATCACAATTTAGGCAATAAACTCATAACTACTTAAGTGCGGAATATGATCAGTGTCATCAGTCAAGTGTCATCAATCCATCTGCTTATATCACCCAATATGGATGTGAAAGCTGTAAGTGATAATTTGATTGGCTGATTATCAGTATTTCATTGTTTCCTTAGATACAAGTATTGTTACCACTCCATCTATATGTACTAACATGACTTGATATTGGGTAAGACGATACTTATTATTAGTAATATTCTACCGAATATTGGGGGTTAATGACATTTGATCTTTTAGTCATATCCTACGATTATTATTAATTTCCTTAGTAGGATAGTATCATATTTATATATTTGTTATTTATAATATAGTTTATCTTAATTGTTGCGGAAAACAGACCTACTTGAAATAAATTAGTAGTAGATAATACAATATAAGTGGTATATAGTTGTTTCATGAAAGTATAAAGGGAATTTCTGGTCTGGTAAAAATTAATGTTTGTCATTTATTTAGTTAGTAATGAGGTATGACTTAATTTCACACCGAGCTGATATTAAGAAATCAAATGAAATTGGGTTTAACGTCCTACAGTATGCTATGAGTGAAATTATTCTCAAACAGTGGTGTGTGAAAAAGCTTTATTTAACGTCCGTTTCCACTGAGGTGATATCGCAGACAAACAGTGGTGCTACAGCCTGTTTTTATTTCGAACAGGACCCCAGTTTTTTTGCCCATCCGAACAACCATGGTTGTTCTTTGCCAGGCCCTCCGTCCTACACCACTGACACGGGGTGGGTGGAGGGGGGGGGCATGATGAAAAATCCTGATGAACTTTCTAGGCCCACACAGGGATTGAACACCGGACCTCCAGGTTAGTGAGCCAACGTCTTACTCACTTAGCCACCTCAGGTTCTGCTAATAAGGATAGGTTTGCTTATTGCTTTGGTGGAAATGAAAAAGCTAAGGGGTCACATAAAAGAACCCTTGACAATTCCTTTTACATGTAGAGTAGGCAGTAGACTCTGGGCATTGCACACATTACCATAGACAAATCAAATAATATAATCAAGGATTAAAGGTGCAGTGTCTCATGAATTATGTATGGTATACTCTTAAAGATCTTCATCCTGTGAGGTACCTTTTCTCAGAAATACAAACTTTAGTTTCCATATGTTTTTGGTGACAAGTCCCCAAATTCCATGTTATAAACAAATGCCTGGAAAGATATGTCTACAGACATGCAAATTATAGTGGTAAGAGAATGTCATTATTATTACAAAGTCACTATTGAAACAGTGTATTCTATAAATAAAATGAAATGGGATTTAACGTCCTACTTTCTGCACCGACTGGGCTAATGAAGATGAGATTCTTTAAATAAGTTATGTAACTCTGTGAAGCAAATCTAGGGATATCTTCCAAATGACTCAAAATTTTGAGCTGAAACTTTCATACAAGCTATTTGGGCAATTTCCTCACATTTTGGCATTTGGTATAGTTAAATCAACTCTTATCAATAGGTATGTACCCAGTGAAACCTGGGACTGCCCATTTAATTACAGATATTTTAGTAGCCTACAAAACATTTTTGTATTTTGTTTCATAATCCTTATATATTTAATTAAATTTTTGACTGCTGCATTGGGGATGGGCCTTTAACTAGTTGTCATATAAAAACAAAACAAGATATTATTATTCAAGTTTAGTTAAAAGCGCCCCTAACATCATGACATAGTCTGAAAGGTATTAACCAAGTTGATTTTAACTAACACATTACACACAGCTGGATCTAAATTAAACTTTATGCAGTTAACATCACTCCACATGAATAAAAAACACTGCATAATGAATAAAGGTATGTAACAGGTTTCAGTGTAGACATGTAATTGGGTAATAACAAACAAAATTTTCATGTGTCACGGAAAAATATCATGCAATTTTCCTTGTATATAAATTACATCTATGTAAACTGCTATATTTTTATTTATAATGAAACATACATTAAAGCGTCAGCATGGCAATGCAGGTTATCATGCTCAGGATAATAATTCAAAATATTTACAAAAGTTTGTGCCTTTTGGTTGCAAATTGAATATTGTATCACATAAGTTATAGGCAAATTGCAGACATGTTACATTTGAAACTGGCACTTCCAGGTGGACCTTTAACTGGCTTCATACTATGATTGTAGCATTGTAGCCATTTCTGATCATTTTTAAAAAATCCTTCCACTACAACAGATCTTGGCTGTCAATCTGGGAGCTCACCCAAAATGTTCCCATTTGGTCCTGCAGCTCTTAAGACCGTCCCTATAGTTGCATGAATTTACAATAATGTACCATAAACAAAAATCATGAAATATTAATCTAAATTGCAAATTTTCTGAGAGTTATCAAAAATGACTGACAGTGAAAATTTTGAAGTGGAAGCCCTGGTCCCTAGGTGCTGGAGCAGAAGCAGTGTTGAATAGGCACCATAGATTAGTATATCTATCATCCGGGGGTTCATATGCAAATGATTAAAAGAGCTAAATCGCTAATATTTGGGACCTAGAAATTGACCCAAATGGGTCGCAACGCATATAATAATGTAATCTGAATGTATATAAACTGATTTACATTCAATTGTTTCTGTTTTGAATCTTAATTTCAAATCAGTTACGTCCAGCGAAATAGGGCATGATTCTCAACCGAATGGCAATTTCTAGCATCTGGTTATTCCAGTCTATTGCGCATGCTCTCCAGATAAGATATGGTGTGACCGTTTGGCATGAGTTGTGTAATATGTCTAACCTCGTTCTTTCTGGTCACTTGTTACAAATGACGCTGAAATGCACTATGGTACACGATTCGTGTACCAATGGTAAAATGTTTATTTTGTCTTAAATATTGGATATCAGAAGCCTACCTTTTCCCGGTAAGATCACAACATCAATGTTGATTTGAATTGAGAAATAATTCACGTTTTCAACTTGTAAGCCTTTGGATGATATTGAGTCCAAGATTTAGCTACTTTTATTGAAAACTGAAGATGAATGATTGGAAAATATATTCTCACCTCAACCCCCACATATTTGGTAAAATGTGGTAAATATTCTACAAGTCCAATTGCATCTAGCCATGTTGATACAGCTATATGTTTATGTGCCATCAACTGTTGATTATGTCTCTTCTCTAGCACCAATCTATAAAATACAAAATATGTAACATATTTATTTTACAATAAATTAATAATATAAGATATTTTTCAAGAGATGGATTTAGGTAATGAAAATGAACCAACTTGGCCAACTTACCTGTCATGTAAGAATTTAACCTTAACACATAAAAAAATGCATCAAAAATTGACTGAAGTGAAAAGTCTGGTCTGAAAACAAGAGATTTTGTCCAGTCAAATTGATCCAAAATACTTAATCCTGACGTCTTTTTCATGTATGAATTAGTTTCTTGTTTAGCAGTTATTGTGTCTATAAAATAACTGAAGGAAAACACAAAACCCATATGCAAATAGAAAGTCAGGTATATTTTAAAATAAATAATTAGGGATCCAAAGCTTGTCTCGATAAAACGACTTAATTTTACCTGATTAAAGCCTGTGGCATTATTATATATGTGGTTGTCCGCTGGTAAATCAACCAATACTTGTTCAAAGTTATAAAATCAACTTGTCCTTTAGTTAATCAAACCATATAGTCAAGGACAATATGTAAACTCCACTATTACTTAACACAATATATTCATGTTCACTTATCTAATACATAAATATAACCTGTTAACAGTGGTAAGGTCTTGAGGGAAACTTAATTCAACCAACTGTATGCCCCAAATGGCTATGCCCCAAAGCCATTCTATCTCTCAGACAATGTTAAGAATTTAAAACACTTATAGACCTTATAAAGATATATTTGACACCTAATGCAGGTTAAAAGATGTACTGAACTATGCTACATGTTTAATTGTTAAATGATAGCCTATTATTAATGCTATTATTTTGTATAATTGGGAGATAATTGTTGACAAATAGTTTAATGAGCACTCATGCTTTCATGATGAACAATGCAAATGAACAATGGAAGCGATGATGACAATGTCAGTACTTTTCTTTTGCACTGTTAGTCCCTAGGCCAAAACAAAAGTAGATACATTTCATTGCATACAAGGCTTTTTAAAACATTTTTTTTCCCTTAATTTTCTTAAGAGCCACATTATAACAAATAGGAAAACATTGATGAAAAATATAGTCTTCAGACCTATGAAAGTTAAATTCAAGTATGGCATCCAAATGGTAAATTCTGCCACGTACCATATTGTCTTATTAATTACAACTTCAGAGTTCGTACCGCTGGAAGGGATCAAAATAGTATGGTACTTCTATAAAATGTTAAAATCAAGTACCGTATATAGAGTACCCACATGGTAAATTCTTTCAAGTATCAAAGCTAGTAGCTGCAATGATTATAGAAAGAAAAAAAAAACGTTTGGATCAATTTAGGAACTTTCAAGCCTTTTGCAACAAAAACTTTGCAGTCAATCTAAATTGGGGAATTGATTTCTATTTGAATAAGATTTCTCAGCTGATTTGACAAAAAATTTAGTTTGCCTCAAGGCGAAAAACTGACAACTTTTTACTTCACTGCTCATTTATGAGTAAGATCTTACCTATAAAAACTTATAACAATAATCAGTAGAAAACGACAACAACTCTCGTACAAAAGGTCCTAAAGTAACTGGATGCTAGTATCTGAAGGACATCTAGACTGGGATCTCAGCGATACACAAGGGGTTGCAGGATAAAGTAGAAATATAACAATACATGTAAATAAACAAGGTGATTAATATCAGTAGTTTATTTATCATTATTTTCTATCAGTCCTTATTTCCTTTCATCATATGATTCAGATTAGTATTATGTTTTTCTCAAATCTGGTGTTGACAAGTTTAACTCCTAGTTTGTTCTTTTATAAAGAAATGAAATGAAATGAAATAAAATAAAATGGGGTTTAAAGTCCTACTGTTCTGCTCCTAAACTGGGCTAATGAAGACGGGCATACGCCATACAGTGTGCTATGAGGGAAATTTTGCCCGGGCAGCGGCGCTACGTCCTACTCTTATATCGAATTCCAACTGCCAAGGGATCTTTTATGTGCACGCCAATATGTACACGGGACCTTGGTTTTTCGTCCCATCCGAACGACTAGACAGCTGTCCTTGCCAGGCCCTCCATCCTGCATCACTGACAAGGGGAAACCACGCCGGAAAAAGTGGATGAACTTTCTTGGCCAATGCAGGGATCGAACACCCGACTTCCAGGCTAGCGAGCCAGCGTCTTACCCACTTAGTCACGTGATCCCTTCCTTTATAAAGAGATTGCCCACGATTTTGCAGGCTATATATTGATACATGTGGGTTAAAGAATGCCAATGTAAAGAAATATTGAGCTGTTCTGAAGTCATTGTCTAAAGATACACAGGTATTGAGTGTTGAAATGAGATTATGGGGACTTCTCCCTGAAAGATTTTGAATATGAGGAACAAATATAGATACGTCTTATATATAAATGCCTTAATTTAATTTAAAATATCAAATAACTTACTTTACATCATAAATCACTTTAAAAACACCCTTCATGGAGTTAAAAGAATTGTAACAGTTATATTATTACTGTACACTTTGATTGAAACTTTAACCGACATGCACTTATATTATACTATGTGCACACTTCTAACAGTGCATGTATAAGTGGAAATTTGACCACAGTAATATGATTCAGTTTTCTTTACAAAGGTGGTTCCCAAATGAAACAATCATGTATTTTCCAATTATTAATAAAGTTTAAAATATTTACATGTATTTACATGTTCTTAATAAATTTTAAAATGATGGAATATATAAATTACATGTACTACTCTACCTTAATATTGTTCTTAATAAAGTTTAAAATGATGGAATATTTACAAAGGTATCTGATCTACAACTTGACCTAAGATTTCGAGTGGCTTATAGCTTGTTATAGAGTGTTTGTCAGGTGTAGTGGATAAAACTACCATTAACAGATTATCTTATGTAAACAATCAGATGTTAGTCTCTTGTTGTGTGATAATGTAACACACCTGTTTACGTGTTGTAATAACCTCAACACATAAAACACAGATCAGATTTAAAAAAAGCACATTTATTTTCAAGTTCCAAATGTCTTAGAACCATCTTGAAGTACAATTAATGTGAAGAATTTATTATGATGTCTGTTGTTTTTATGTGTTGTAATGTAACACATTTTTATGAGCAAATGGCCACCGAAACAATATGAAATTTAAAACCTTAAATTTAAAATTGATATCTTCAAATCTAACATAACATATAATATAGTCGAATTATCTGAAAAAGTATTCGTGTATTATACATCACCAACTTGTTCATAATTCTAAAATGTCCGCTTCTTACTAGTCACATGAAGTCTGTGATATTATGTACCGGTACTTCTAATCTAATATAATCTCATGTTTTATGTATCTAAAATAACATGTCATTGTATTATGCACGAAAAAAGGCATTACCATCCTCAAAATGACCACAAGATTTCATAGAATGCTGTTGTATATTTAGATAACATTTCACGCATAAATATATGTCATAATCTCTCAACACCAATGGAAACATTAATGCACAAAGGTATTCAAAACATTACCCAGTAAGTGATTTACATAAAAAATATCAGTAGGTCACATAGAATAATATACAATGTCAAGATTTTAAAATTAATTTTCACAAATGATCAGTCATCTGTAACGTTGAGCAGAAATGTTATTATAGAATTAACAATGATTTTATACGACCTGAGATATCATACATCATATGCACTCATAGTTTAAGAATTCCTCCGATGATGTGGGTATTATCTAAAATATGTCTGTGCAGTAAATAGTTTACATATTCAAATTATATTTAATGTGTTTAGAATAAGATAACGCTTGTTTCAGGTATGGTAACCTCAAGCGTATATTGGTTACAGTGATAAAGAGACATATGAACTATTGGATTTGGAGGGGGGAACCAGGTTTGGGTGCCCGAATTTCTCTATTTTTTTTAACCAAATATCACATACTGATTTTGGCACATATACCAAAAAGTGACATTCACATTTTTTTTCTAGGGATATGAATATTGATAATAGTATACTATAAACATTGAAGATTCTTGTTCGAATTTGACCCATAAAATTCAAAAACTTTCCAATGGAATTTCTCTGATCGCCTCGTCAGTATTTGCCATCACCCTAATATCAGGGTTTGTTGGGCTGGAGGCCACTATGTTTTTTCAACATAATTTTGTATACATATATACTCTAAATGTACTGTCCCTACAATATCATTTGTTCTGTCCTTAGTTTGTTGTGCAGTTATCCTGCATTGTCTGTTTTTTACAAAATAAATTCCAATCTATTAGAATGCTGAATCTCTAGGGGGTTTGCGCCATCTGGTGGTCCTCGGAATATGATAGATTTCTTCACTCACAAAGCCCATCTTCCCTTATTCAAAATGTTGAAACAACCCTTTGAGTAGGTACATGTAGGTAGTTAGAAATGATAAAAGGTGTACATGTAAATTTTGTTTATTATACAAATTGCATCAGCACCTGTAAACATCAACTTCAAAGAGAAATAGTATCTTGATAAATTAAAGGGCATCATTATTGAAAGATTAAAACCATACTCTGTAACCGATACATTTTGAGGTATACCTTCATGTAGCAAGGGTAAAGCCGGATAATATACATGTATAAATACACCATAGGACAGAAATAATAAACATAGACTAGCTTCTATTATTTTAATAAAAATTGTATTTATATTACAATAAGGGCAAACAAATAATGAATGGCTATAAATATTTCCTAATTATTAGCATGTGTTACCATATATAAACACCAAAATATGAAGAGGGTTGGAAAATATACCCTATGGTATTCTGCATGGATCATGAAAAAATAAACATTTCACATGCAGAGCACATTTCACATCCATCTGATTTTCAAAACAGATATTAGTACGCAAAGGCAATAGATAACTTTTTGTTGGCAACACTTATTTTTATTGTTTATGTGTATTTCCAGCAAAAGCCTTTCAGGAACGAATGATTGAAATAGTGTTTAACGTCCTCCATTTCTGTTTTAAACGGGCTAATGAAGA